GCGTCCTGATATTTTTCCGCCACTCCCGCTCATCTGCTCTGGATCAGCCCTCCTGCCGGCCTGTGATACTGAAATCCAGTTGTTAGAGCGGATGACTGGCCCCTCTGGCTGGAGTTCCTGCGCAAATTCGCAGCCCCCAGCTTGAAGAGAGGTGGCTGCCTGGCTGCTCTCCCCCATCGGCTTGTCAGGGGGACGAGCCTGCTCTGAACCTGGTGATGGTCAGCACGGCTCTAAGGCGCTCCCGCCTCCTTAGGAGGGAATTTCTAGGTCGACTTGAGACCCATAGCTGTGACTTTGGTTTCGACTCAGTGAGAAACACATGTTGGCCCGTTAACCATCTCAGCGGCATCTCTGGTCACCTTTCCCACGGACCTCGTCTATGGTGTTCATGCTGAAACAGTAGAGCAACGTGTCCCCAAGTGATGGCAAATGGTCCATTTTAATAACAGCTTCATAAGCCCCAGATTATGTTTATTACAGTTTGCTAGTGAGTCTGTTAAGAAGAGGTAGTCAGTTCTGGGGCATCAATGATTTTGGTTTTTAATAACTTTTTAATAACTCAGAGGAGGCAGAAATCAGTCCTCAGGAGCGTGAGTCAGAGGAGAGCTGGCCTGGAACAGGGTCTAACCAGCCGGTTTGCACGTGTCCCCGTGGCGTCCTCCACCAAGGCGGTAAGTGACAGGTGTCTGCTCATGACACCTGCTACGGCTTCTGGAGGATGCGATGGACCAATTCAGACTACACTTGATGCATCGTCAGTAGGCGATGAAGCTCCCCAGAATTGTGGGCACAGGCAGGGTCCAGTCGGAGCAAAGATTCCAGCCTGGGGTGAATCTGCCCCCAGGGCAAGTTTAGTGATTTCTGGAAACACACTTGGTTGGCACAGCTAAGGGAGGGAGGGAGGCTACTGGTCTCTTGTGGGTAGAGGTCAGGGGTGCTGCTAAACATCCCATAATGCTCAGGAGAGTCCCCACAACAAAGACCAGTCCTGCCCAGAATGTCAAGCTTGCCGAGGGTGAGACACTTTGATTTACAGCCACAGTGAACATTTCATTCCATCGTCTGGATGTCGCCAGAAATGATACATGGCTGGAGGCCTGGCTTTTTATTCTGGGTATCGCCAGCTTCGCACAGAACCAAAACCATGCATAAATCAATTCTCCTATTTGCTCTCTGGCTTCTTCCTATTGTAATTTTCTCCTTCCCACTTTAATTATTCTGTTACTGGAGAGAAGGTGAAAAAAAATCAAGTAGGCTAGAGAGTCGCTAAAATTTTTTCTTCTTCAGTTAAAAAGAAATAAATTGGAAGTAACTCACGGAAAGCAAAGAACCAATGAGAAAGAAGACATGAGGTTCATCAAACAGTTAATCATCCTGGAAGAGGAGCCGAGAAAAGTCTCCTGATGAGAGCTGCCCAGTTACAGGAGAGTCACCCCACTGAGAGGAGCTGGAGGTGGGTGCGGAGTAGGCTTGGGAGGTGGAGAGCCTGGAGGAGCAGGTCTGAGCTGGGCTAGCGCAGAGCTTTCCAAAGGACAGGTCAAGCCACCTTAGCGGGGACTGAATCTATTCTGTGAGTCTCAACTAGCGTCTAAAAACGTGAAACAATAGAACTAAGTGGAAACTATCAAAGGGTACTGCCTGTAATGAAAGTCGATATTGTTTTGTAAAATTTTAGCTCCATGTATTGTGTATGGGTGTGTGCGCATGTATGTATGTGTGTGTGCATGCCAGGTCTTGTTGTAAAATATATTTCTTATGATGAGATTTGGCCAAAACAACATGGAAAACACTGGACTGGATGAAATGGTGGAGGATTTGGAGACAACAAAGTATCTGCAAGCAATTTTGCAAGTAAAAGCAAGGAAGTGATTAACTGTGGGAAAACAAAAGATGCATAAGAAAGAAAATGTAACCACATCAGAAAAATGGGCTCTGCAGTGAATATTATCCACCTGGTCACATGACATCCATGATGATTATGATGCAATCATCGTGATTTGCCCTTAGAGGACGGTGGGAGGTGAGGTGGGGGAGGGGAGCTGACCCCTCATCAGGGGTGCAGACATTTGGAAGAGACCAACACAGCTTGAAAGCTCCGCGACTAACCCACTCTTAAAAACTCTGGAAGAAACTTGCAGACACAGCTGAAGGAATAGAATAGAGGTCTCTGGAAAGAGATGGGCAGGGAACAGATTCAGCGGTGTTTTATTTCGTGGTCATCATCTATTTATTTAAAAGAGAGACACACACACAGGGGAACAGGACCAGTGAGGACACGGTAGGGTCTCTGAAAAGAGTCTGGGGGCCCACGTGGCTTTTGGTTCCATCATTTACAGCTGTGTCTCCTCACACATGTCCCCTCCTAGCTTTCTGACTCCTGGCCACCTGTCTCTGAAACACAGGCGGGGCCAAATCATACGGCCCTCTCGTTCAGCCCTGTGTCTGTAGCTTGCTGTGAAGAGTCCAGGACGCCGAGCACGCCTCACCTGGTCTCTGGGTCAGGTAACGTGGACGCCATGAGCACGAGGCGCAGGGCAGGCGTCAGGAAACGTGTTGGGTTTGCCTCGGTGCTGGAGGAACCTCAGGCAGCCTCCACTCCCCAGGCTGAGTGGGGTTGCTCACCCCCACGCCCAGAGCAGTGTCAGGAGGAGGCCCTCCTCAAAGGCTTGTTCTCACCACCTGGGGGGTGCACGCCCTGGAGGAGGGGAGATGATCTCAGGGGCCCACAGCAGAGGCTGCTGGCTGTCCCCCGTATCCATCGCCTCCTTCCTGGAGTTTTAGAAGTTCCCGTGTTCAGCTGAGCACACGGCCACCCCGGCTGGAGCTGAACCTCCTGGCGCAGCTCGCAGTGTCCTTTCCAGGGCACCCTCAGACGATGGGTGCTCCCCGCCTTCTCCCCTCCCCTCCTGCCTGATGGGACCTGCGCCCCTTAGACCAGGTGGACGACAAGAGCGTCCAAAGGTGAGGAAGCAGGGGGACAGAAGAAGGTCGAGGTCAACCCCATGCAGCTGCCCGCCCAGCTCTGGGCCCCACGCCGAGGCCGTGACCCCGTGAGAAACAGACTTCCGCCTCGCTGAAGCCGCCAGGAGGCTCAGCACCAGACGGGGAGCTGATCCACCAGTAGGTGAGGGAGTGGGCTTTTACTCTAATACTTACTCACTTTAACAGGATTTAGGGGGAAA